TTTCTTCATGCCGGAGGCCCGATCTCTGTCGTCTCGTTTGGCGAGCTCATCCCACGCCCGGATTCTGGAAATTTTCTGACCGTTCATCGGCACAAGCGTGTTGGACAAGGCTTGCACGTGCACGAGTGAGCCCGGCATCTGTTGGCAACATTTTTTGGGGTCAACAGATGGGATCAGGGCAAGGAAAGTGGATCAGTTACTGAATGAAACCTAAGAATTAAACCAAGTAGCCTATATACTATTCCTTACAGACAAAATTTCACTAGCCAGCAACCAGTGATATTGCAAATTCGGACAGTATACCCACAGATGAAGAAACCATAGCCGAGAGACCCAGAACTCCGACTATTAATGTGTACTCTAGATGGAAAATGTTTTTCATCACTTCACTTGCTCCAATTATCATCCTTGACACAAGTAAAGAAAATAATGATCCAATTCCTATTTCTAGTTCTGAAATTGATTCCCCTAAAAACTTCAATTTACCAATCGCGCCTTAGAAAAGCGATTAGAGCTCGTACTCGACACGCTGTGCCAAATTTTGTGTCTATGGAGAATCTTTCACCTTATTTCTAAGCATCTCTCAGAAGTTCTTTCTCAGCAAACTCTCAACTGTCCGAGAAGTCTTAACCTCAGAATAGTGGAGAGGGTCCATGAACAACAAGATGAGAGCACTACAAAAATAAGACCTGGGAGATAGACTATTTACCAGAGGGAGAAATAGATATGCCCTCTAGAGTTTTCTGATTCAAAGAGCCCTTCAGATTTGGGGTGTTTTTTTTGTGAGAGTTGAGGTTTTGAACGTAATTAGTACGGCAGTAATAATTTTAATTAGTTTTAAGGTATTAATCAAATATTTAATTTTTTTAGGGTATTGTACCTAATATTCCCTTGATTTCAATAGGGCAACTTTAAGACCAATTTTCTTGAGCTCAAATCTCAAATTTAGCCCTTGTTTAGTGGCCATTTTTGGGAAAACATTATTTTAAATAATGATTTTTTGAAGAATATGTTAAAAAGTAGATTTTTTTTTAGGTTTACGTGTAAAATATTTTATTGTAAAACATGTGATAGAAAATGAGTACGTAGAAAAAAGAAATTTGAAACTTTTTCCTATTCTCAAAATACTATTTATTATATATTGCAATTGTTTATGCTACATTTTGTAACACATTGTATCACAATATCTATATAGAGGTGTCAAGACGGACGGGCCGGCCAGACCCGTGAAAATCGGCTTGGATCGACTTGGGACAGCTGGCAGACCTGTGACCCGAGCGGGCGGTTCACGGGTCAAGGAGGTGTGACCCGCGGGCTTT